TGTCTCAAATCAATGAGCAATATGACATGTTTTCAACAAGATCTGTTGGACTAGATTGTGAGAGGCTGAGAGAGAGGGCTGGTGGCAGGGCCTGCACCTGGGGTGTGATGTGGGCACCTAGGTCCCCCGAGGGTGCAAATGTTCTTTCCCTAAAGCAAGAAATTGATTCTTGGACAGAGGTGGTGCTGGGTCTGCTGGCAGCAATGGGCTGCTACAGATGTTTCCTTGGAAGACTTCCTTAGGATCAAAACCTCCATTGTTATCCATGCGCCATGGCTTCATGGTCTTCCCAGGAGGGTTTATACGTTTTCTGTATATAAAAGAGGTTTCTGTTGAACCTTTGTGGTGATAATGATGCCATGAGGCCTGTGCCCTGCAGAAATTAAATATCCTGGGAGTTTCAAATGCCAAGTGCCTGAATTTTTTTTTTTTTTGTAAAATAGTATTAAAAATTTTTATTGTGAAAATATACATAACAAAACATATGCCATCTCAACAATTTCTACACGTACAATTCAGTGACACTGATTACATTCTTCAAGTTGTACCTCCGTTCTCATTATCCTTTTCCAAATCATTCCACTACCATTGACATAAACTCAATTCCCCCTGAGCAAAAAACTCCCTTTTTTCCCCTCTTCCTTTCACCCCTAGTGGAGCCCTGGTGGCACAGGGGTTAAGAGCTCGGCTGCTAACCAAAAGGTCGGCAGTTCGAATCCACCAGCTGCTCCTTGGAAACCCTATGGGGCAGTTCTACTCTGCCCTGTAGGGTCGCTATGAGTCAGAATCGACTCAGTGGCAATGGGTTTGGTTTGGTTTTTCACCCCTAAAAGAACCAAAACCAAACCCGTTGTCATCTAGTCGATTCTGGTGCATAATGACTCCTAGTAACAACAAATAAGCGTTGCTTTCTGTATATTTGCTTACTTCATATAAGTGAGATCTTAAGTACCCTGATTTTTGGTTGAACAAGTTAATTAAAAATAAAAGAGCAAACAAAAAAAGTAAATCCAGTGCTTCTATAATTTACCTATAATGCCAAAAACGACTGAAAATTAGGGAGGAAATGCAGTTTGTTTTTAAAATGGAACACAAAACCACATTGGTAAACCCAGTTTATCTTTGGCATAATGCTTTCATACTGTTCACCTATATAAGGTTAAATTTATTTTATACTCACCTGTAAAAAAACCAATAAACCAAACCAGTTGTTAAGTTGACTCTGACTCATGGTGACTCCATGTGTGTCAGAGTAGACCTGTGTTCCATAGGGCTTTCAATGGCTAATTTTTCAGAAGTAGATCACCAGGCCTTTTTTCCAAGGCACCTCTGGGTTTACTCGAGTCTCCAACTTTTTGGTTAACAGCTGAGTATATTTTCTGTTTGCACCATCCGGGGACCCCATATTCACTTGTATTTGCCCTTAACTCCTCACCAAACTTCAAGATTTCTTTCATAAAATCTGAGCCCAGTCTTCCAGACCAGAAGGTCTTTCTTATATATACAGTCTAAGAGAAACCAGGAGGAAGCTTTTGGGCCTGCTGTGTCAGATTTCCGTAGTTCCTTTCAGAGGCAGCAACCATATATATATTTTATTTGACTCCAGCTCTAAGTGTGTAGCTTTTTAATTTCATTATGTAAAATAGAATACAAGCCTCAGGCCTATAAGGGCAACTTGAACACACCTTGGGGATTCATAAATAGACTTCTCACAGAGGCGTGGTGTTAACTTGGAAAACCCTTAATTATAAAAGGTGTTTATTGAAAATTGAGTTAACGCACAGTGCAGATAAGGTTTGATTGGCCCTCCATTTCCTTAGGGGAGAAGCAGTCCAGTGCTGAGCCTCTCCCCCGCTTTCTGCCCCCGTCACAGGGCCGCATCGGCAGGAGCCTCGTCCCCCTGTGCCCTCACTGACCTGTCCCACTTTCTCCCCAGGATGAGAGTCTGTGCTAAGTCAGTGTTGCTGTCACACGGGCTCTTCTTGGCCTACGTGTTGATGGTATGCTGCAAGCTGCTGTCCGCCTCGAGCCAGCACCTCCGGGGACACACAGGTAAGCCCTGTAAGCTCATTAAGCACCACTGAGATCTGTTAATACAACCCTTTCAATGATCAGAGTCCACATTTCAGACACAGGTAATCGACAAGAGCTTTTGATGGTGTTTAAATAACAAGAGGCCACAGTGAAAGACAGCAGATTGAGACAGTTTAAGGGATTGGTGCTTCAAGAGGGTTGCTCCAAACACCCTGTGAAGATCTTCAGGCTTTTTTGTTTCCTTTTCCTGGGTCCACTTCTATTTTTGGGGTGCTTTTTCTCAAAGAATCCCAGAAAGCCAGCAAGACTCTATTTGTATGTATACTCTTATATCTTCCTTTGGAGGTAGGCCACCTTTATTGATAAATTAATACTTACCGGGCTGTGGGGAAGGGAATAATTTAAAGGGCCTTGCATATCGAAATGTTTATTAGCTCTCCTTACCCTCAGATAATTTAAGACCCTTTTGAAATGTGTGGAGAAAAGATGCTGAATAAGAAAGGAAGAGAGAAATAATGGAAGAAAAGATGGAAGGAAGTGAAGAAATAAGAAAAGCAGTGGTAACTTTTGCATGGGACCTAAAATGGAGTATGTCTAAAGTTTTAGAGGCACCTTTGATAAGTTGCTTTTTTCTACAGAAAGATTAACATCATTAGCTCATGGGGTGTGTGTGTGTGTTTCACACCTCCTTCCTTGTTACGTCTACATTGAAAGTGACACAGGCTTGGGAAACTCCCCAGTGAATTGTGTTTTCCTGAGTAATTCATATTTGTCAGCGGACTCGATGCCAAACAATTAACTGACCATCTCCGCCTCCGCCGCCGTAATGTGAGGTGCAGCAGTGCCAGAGATGCTTTGACTTCTCGGTGAAAGAGTGAAGCGCGAACCCCGAGCTGTGTACGTGTCAGAACTGGTAAATTCTCTCTCCAAAGGGCCTTGCGTATCGAAAGGTTTATCAGCACTCCTTACCCTCAGATATATAGTATGTCATGCTGTCTACTCCATTCCTCTGATATTTTAAGGTTAGGCATAGTTTTAGACTCCAGATAATGTTTTAAATCTCTCACAACTCAATTTTCCCTCCCCAAGCAACATTTTGATGAAGATGAGAAAAAGAATGATTGACATTTTAACGAATCCGCCTAAAATCAGTATCATTTGCCTGCTGCGGAGTGCCCACAGCTGGTTGGTTACTGTGCTGTGTATCTTTTGATGAGTTCGTCTGCCAGGAGAGAGTTTGAAGTCGTTAGTCTTATCTATTTAATACACATCTCTTTCCTGGGGTGGAGGTTAAGATTCAGGCTAGTAAACAGGGAAAGCATTCAGAGTGGCGGGTTATCAACAGAAGATTTCTAGATTCCAAAGGACTAGGCTGGAGGGACTGTGTTGAAAAGTGATTAAAACTTGAAGGAAACTAGGGCGTGACCAAACCTTCCGTTTTTATCTGTGTGGCCATCCTCATTTCATGGCTTAACCCTTTGAGTATGGAAAATATGTAACTGGAGGGATAAATCGAAATTAAGATTAGAATTGTATACCCAAGAAATGAGAACTGTATCTTCCATATAAGCAGAGACTCGGCAGCAGCACGGATGGTGAGAGGTCTGGGCAAATCGTCATCATGCAATTAAATTTCCATCGTAGAATTTCTAGATGATTTTACTTGGATTCTTTGCACACGTCCTCTGGTTTCCAGTTTCTCTTTGGCTGTGGGGGATCCTTTCTGCTTTCCTTTTGGGGATTTTAGTCCTTGTCGTCTGTATTTTAATAACAACCAAACTGCTCAGTACTATTTCCTGCCTGTAGGGGACCTTGTTCTCTAATCTAGGCTGCATGCCACCTGGAGAACAACCTTCACAAGTGTTGTGTGCTGTCGAGTTGATTCTGACTCGTAGCAACCTTATAGGACAGAGTAGAACTGCACCATATGGTTTCCTAGGCTGTAACCTTTATAGGAGCAGATAGCCGGGTCTTTCCTCCCGCGGAGCGGCTGATGGGTTCGAACCACTGACCTTTCCGTTAGCAGCTGAGTGCTTACCCACTGCACCACGAGGGCTCCTTATCACAAAAGTGCCCTTTGCCTGACAGCAAGGACCTCCACAGTTGACCTTCCTGGCCTTCTGTGGTAGAGAGAGGGCTCCAGAATCCTACTGTGAGGTCTTTTTCCCCTGCAGGCCTCCTAAGCTGTGTCCCCTGATGCCTGGGATATGTTGTTGTCAGTTGCCCTTGAATCATTTCTGACTCAGGGCGACCTCGTGCGTGTCAGAGGAGAACTGTGCTCTGTAGAGTTCTCAAGGCTGTGTGTGACCTTTCAGAAGCAGACTGCCAGGCCTGCTGGGATGCCTCTGGGCGAATTCGAACTGCCAACCTTTCAGCTGGTAGTCGAGTGCTTAATAGTTTATGCTACTCAGGGACTCCGTGGGAATATTGTTGTTGTTGTTAGCTGCTGTCGAGTTGATCTGACTCATGGCGACCCTGTGTGTTACAGAGTAGAACTGTTCTATAGGATTTAATAGGCTATAATCTTTATGAAAGCAGTTCGCCAGGCCTTTCTTCTGCAGAGCCGCTGGGTGGGTTTGAACCACTGACCTTTAGTTAGCAGCTGATGGTAAACCACTTGTGCTATCTAGGCTCCTGCCTGGAATATACCCATTGCTGTTTAGTCGATTCCAACTCCTAGTGACCCTATAGGACAGAGTACAACTGCCCCATAGGGTTTCCAAGGCTGTAGTCTTTATGGAAGTAGACTGCCACGTATTTCTCCTGTGGAACAGCTGATGGGTTCAAACTGCCGACCTTTCAGTTAGCAGCGGAGTGCTTTAACTACTGTGCCACCAGGTCTCCTTCCACCAACAGTAATAGTGTGAAAATGCCCGTTTTTTCATTCTTTTGTCAATTTTGGGTACTATCAAATTTTAGGGAGTTCCTGTGTGGTACAAATGGTTAGTGTGTTAGGCTGCTAACAGAAAGGTTGGAGGTTCACGCCTATCCAGAGGCACTTTAGAGGAAAGGCCTGGCTATCTATTTCCAAAAAATCATCCACTGAAAACCCTGTGGAGCACAGTTTTTACTCTGACACGCATTGGGTCGTCATGAGTTGGAGCTAACGCAACAGCAACTGATTTTTTTTTTTATTGTAATTTAGATGAAGGTTTCCAGAGTAAATAGTTTCTCATTAAACAGTCAGTACACGTATGGTTTTATGACAATGGTTAACAATCCCACAACATGTCCACACTCTCCCTTCTCTACTTTGGAGGACCTTTTTTTTTGGTGAAAATATGTATAGCCAAAGTTACACCATTTCAAAAGTTTCTACATGTACAATTCAGTGACATCGATTACATTCTTCCAGTGGTGCTGCTATTCTCACTATCGTTTTCCAAATTATTCCATCACCATTATCTTCAACTCACTGCCCCCTTTTTGAGTTGCTGTTGTCAATTTGATCTCACATAGATAATTCTTTATTTTTCTTTTTTGTACCTTAGATGAGATTTCCAGATCAAATAGTTTCTCATTAAACAGTTAGTACACATATTGCCCTATGACAATGGTTAACAACTCTACAACATGTGAACACTGTCCCTTCTCAACCTTCGGTTCCCTATCACCAGCTTTCCTGTCCCCTCCTGCCTTCTAGTCCTTGTCCCTGGACTGCTGTGCCTCATTAGTCCTGTTTTGTTTTATGAGGCTGTCCAGTCCCCGGCTG